ACTCCTTTATCCTTTTACCACTCTCTGTTGATCCTGAATGGCTAGTTCATCTTTAGCTAGTTCCCCACCTTAACCAATCCTCTTTCAAACCACATGCACTCTTGTTTTCTATTGTCTTATATGCAGATAAGTGCAAAAACGTTGGAGAGAAAGAGGAACGACGCAGTTTTCAGTCATCAAGGACAGAGACCTGCGATTTGCCGTAAAAGTGCCCGAAAGGATTCAACACAAGAGGAAGCTCAGTTTGCCTTAGAAAAATCTTAAATTTTGGTACAATCTCGTCCTCTAGTCTCTCTCTCTTTAAAAAAATTCCGAAAATAAGAAAAGAAAGGAGATAAAAGCCTTAGAGAGTCTAGAGAGGTCGAATTTTAAGTCCCAAGGCAACTGGAGTTTGATTTTATGGAGGTTTGGAGATTGTTTTCTAATTCCCGGAAATAATCTAAATCTGGAGGAATAGCTGTTTACAACAAAGGAGGAAGGATTATGCAACAACATTTGGCAAGAAGAAGTAACTGAAAACTGTGGTCATCAACAGGTCCGTATCTCTCTTGCGGTTTTGCATATTATCTTACATCCTCCAGATCTTCAGGTAACCCGAAACACTTTAACTCCACCACTTAAATAGCCCTTTAATGCCAAACGCCGTCTACCCTGGATGATGTCTTTAATGAGAACTCACTATTGAACTTAATGAATGTAGAGAGCTAGTTGACTAGAATCAAGATTTAGATTGTTTAAGTTTTGCATGACGGAAAAAGTGGACTAGTATCTCTTGTGTATTGGTGAGAATTTTCTAGACTATGTTGTGGATTGATGCACTATCTTTGGTCCTAGTTTAGGAGTTCATGTCTATGAGATTTGTGCATTCCCTATTTTTGTTTTCACTTAACCAGTTTAGGCTTTTGCTTTGTTTGAGGACAAACAAAGGTTTAAGTCTGGGGGAGTTGATAACACCGTATTTTGACCACTTTTATGGATCGTTTTGAAATACTTTTTCTATGTTTTTAATTGCTTTTAAGTACTTTTATTACGTTTTTCTAGTATTTGTAGTTCCAAAACTCTTTTCAGGTAACTTAGGGAAAAGCTTAACAAAATGGATAGAAAACCAGATTTCAGCTCAGAGTCAAGCCATCAGAAGTTCACCCCTGATTGAAGGCCTTCTCACCGTCTGATCCAGCTCAAATTTGGAGACCTTAAAGATGGAAGTATCAGCTTCCCAGTGCACTTTACAGCTTGGCAATCCAACGGTTCAATCAAAAGATACGCGAAGAGCAAGATGTCCCGTAAACCAGCCGGCAAGCACTTCCACCCGCGGCCAAACACTCATTCCCCACGGTCAGAAGCATCCCGACCGCGGCAAACCGCTCATTCCCCACGGTCAGAGCACTCCCGACCGCGGCCATCAACCTCCGAGCCCAAAAAGCCCATTTCTGAAGCCCACATTTGGAGAAACCCTAAGTGACGTCCAGAGAGGTCATGAGCACTATAAATACATGTCTTAGGAACCCTAAACGATGCGTTACCGAATACCATCATTAATTCATATTTTTATTGTTTTTGCTTTAGCTTTTAGGGAGAGAGAGATTTGTTTTCTTGAACCCTTGTTCTTTCTTTTTCAATTTCGGTTTCTATTCTACTTCTTAATACTATGTCTTTGATTTCGTTCATCATGTCTGAGTAGTTTTATTGTTGGGATTAAGGGATTTTCGATGGGGATTTATATGTTCGATGAGGATTCCATGAGCTTTTGAGCCGAATCTTAGAACTTTTTCTTCTGAATTCGTTTTTACTGCATGAGAGTAGCGTCATGAACTACAATCTGATCCAGATGCTTGGTGACACGAAAGTGTTTATCAGGTATCAGATCTAGTTTGGGAGAGCAAAACAAACATAGGAGTGGAAACCTACCTATGGGCGATTTGTGAATTAGGACGAGTCTTAAACATAATGCATCTCTTCTCTTCCAGGGCCAGAGTGGAAACCTACTGGTCAGGGTTGAGAGACATAGCTGTCTATGATCACGACAGTGGCGTATTCATACGTCCGTGACTCCAGTTCGAAAAGTTTAAGCTAAGATCTTATCAATTTACTCTCTAGCAATGTTTTGAATCGTTCGTACCCCTGAGAAAACTTCCCTGAACCCCAACGCCTTCTTTCTCATTGATTTACACCGATTTTTCTTTCAGCCTTAGTTCAATATTGTCTTTCCTTTTTACTTCATTTTCATTTAAGCAATTAGATATCCGTTTTTTACATTTTTAGTCATTTTCGTTAAGTTTAGTTATTACGTCATTTAATTCCCGTATTCTCTTTTAAGATTTCGTTTTTGCATTTCAAACACACTACCAAACCCCCACAAAACCGTTTTGGTTCTAGACTTCCTTACTTAATACTTATTTCAAAGGCTTTTTGCAGGAAAAGATCCTCCTTCCCTGTGGATTCGATCCCTAAGTACTACAATCGATCAGATGTGCACTTGCGGCTATTGATTTCATTTAGGGTAAAACTTGACAACCCTCACGACAGCACACATCAGATTACGGGTGCATTACCGATGGGCTATGAGACAGTCTTAGTTCGCGATATGTGGAGAGATGGACAAGGCTGGGACTTACATCGTATCCTACCTTTTGTAACGGAAGAGATTGGGTTGGAATTGCGATTGGTGGTGTTGGACAACGTGACTGGAGCGCGGGACCGGTTATCTTGGGGAGCAAGTGACAATGGGGCTTTCTCGGTGAAATCTGCATATTTGATGCTTACTAAGAATAATGAGCCGAGAGAGAATATGGGAAACTTCTTTAACCGTGTGTGGGGAGTGGTAGCACCGGAGAGAGTTTGGCTGTTTCTATGGACGGTGGGGCACCAAGTTCTCATGACGAACTCAGAACGCCATAGGAGACATTTGTGTAGCATGGATTTGTGTCTAGTGTGCAAAAGTGGGGTGGAGACAACCTTGCATATTCTCCGTGATTGTCCGGCTATGTCAGGGGTCTGGGACCGTATTGTACCTCCGCGTAAGAGGAGTGAGTTCTTTACTGAGTCTCTTCTTGGTTGGTTGTATGGTAACTTGCGAGATGATGATGTAATATATGGAAGCACATGGTCAACGGTTTTTGCAATAGCTGTGTGGTGGACTTGGAAGTGGCGTTGTGACAATGTGTTCGAGAATCATGGCAAATGCCGAGATCATATTAAGTTTCTTAAGGACTTGGCACATGAAGTAACGACAGCGGATGCGCAGAGTACATCATCGAGGGAAAACGTACCGAGGGTCGAGGTTATGGTGGGTTGGAAAGCACCTCCGAGTGGATGGATCAAACTTAACACGGACAGGGCATCTCATGGTAACCCGGGAAGGGCAACAGCTGGTGGCGTACTTCGAGATGAGTATGGTGATTGGAGGGGTGGCTTTGCACTTAACATTGGGCGGTGCACAGCGCCCTTGGCGGAGTTGTGGGGGGTGTACTACGGTTTGTATATTGCTTGGGAGCAGCGAGTTACACGTCTTGAGCTCGAGATTGATTGCAAGCTAGTGGTGGGGTTTCTTATGATAGGGATTAGTGATTCACATCCCCTGTCCTTCCTGGTACGTCTGTGCCATGCCTTTCTCTCAAGAGACTGGATAGTCCGGATAATTCACGTGTATAGGAAGGCTAACTATCTCGCAGATGGGTTAGCTAACTATGCCTTTTCTTTACCGCTTGGTTTTCATTTTTTTTGTTGTTTCTCCTTCGGAAATTGAGTCAGTGTTGAGGGATGATGTCATTGGGTCTACGCGACCAAGGCGAATTTGTTTGTAATCTATTCTATTAAAACAGAAGCACATTTAGTGCTTGCATTCAAACACTCCCAAAGTTTTTTTATAATATTTTTATTTTATTTTTATATTTAATTTTCGAAAATTAGTTATTAATTTAGATATTTTTAGATTTTCTAAAATCTAGGTCATCTTTAATTTAAATTTCAAATTATTAGAAATTTAATTAAATTTAGTTACAAAAATTTGCATTCAATTTAATTTAAATTCAAAAAATTCAAAAAAATATAATTAAATTTTATTACGAAAATTTAGATAATAATTTTAATACTTTAGAATTTCTTAAATACAGGAGAGATTTAATTTTAAATTTTAAATTTAAATAATATTTTTATAAAAATGCATAGTAAATAAATATTTTATCGTATTTTATCATAAACAATCGGTCTAAAATATCAAATATTTGAGATTAATAAATATTTATATTATACAATAATATGATCGAACTGATTAGAGTTATATATATATTTATATATATATTTAAGGTCCATGAGTTAATTTATTAAAACATGTAAGATATTAAGATGATTTGAGATAATTAAACTAACAGGTTAGACCGTTTATATATATATATATATATATTTTAATAGCACAAGTAGTAAATAAATATCTTATTATATTTTTCATAATCAATTGGTCCAAATATTCCATATTAGTAAATATTTATAGGGTTATACAATTATAATTATAGTCTTATACGGGTTAGTTTGTCAAAACAGGTAAGATATTAAAAATGATTTAAGACAACTAAATGGATGGATTAGCAAATTCATAGATATATAGATTATTTATGTGTAAATCTAACTTCACATAATAACAAAGTTTATAATTAACATTAAATCAATGTATACTTAATTAACATATACTCTTATTCTACTAATATACAAATTTTACTGTTTAAAATTAAAATATGATAATAATTTTTTGATTTAAAAAAATAAATAACAAAACTAATTATATCTAAACAAAAAAAATAAATACAACTTATATTAGAAATAAAAAATAATATGGAAGACTAGTCTCCCGCCTTCCACCAGAAAAAAAAATCCACGCGATCAAATTGAGTAATGATTAGGGAAAACGCAGCGTTTTCCTGCTAACAATGACATTAGGGAGAGAAAACGGCAGGCAGTTTAATTACAGTAGCAAAAACAAAACAAAAATCTTGATGCCTCGATCACGGCAGAGGAAAAGCAGTCAACCACATAAAGCCTATCTCTCTCTCTCTCTCTCTCCCTCTCCCCCCTACCTCGGAGCAACGGTTTAAACCAACCCTTCTCTCTCTCTGTCTCTCTCTCTCTTTCCCAAATTCGCTCCATACCAAAGAAAGAAAAAAATGGCGGTTCATATTCACAACCCTAACGTTTTCCACACTCATCAACGCCGATTATCTCATACCTCGTCCTCTGCATCACCTGCTTCATATCTCTTTTGCAGACACTCACATGCAAAATATCCCCGATTCATCTGCAAATCTAATAACCAAGATGTCTCCTTTTTACAAATCCTATTTGAATCAGTTTACAAAAAACCTTGAGGAACTAAGATAATCGTTTCTTCTTCTTGTAATAGGACTATCTCATTGATGCTCCTGTTTCTGTTGGAGATGGGTTCTCGTTCAGTGGAGGTTTATATTATAACCATTTACTTCATTCTATCTTTTTTCTTATTAATTGGAAAAATATCGTTTTCATCGCAGGAAAGTATTCAGATCAACCAAGTCCATCAGATGAATGGTTAAAGCAAGGAAAATGGGTAGGAAAAGGATTCATCTTAATTCTCCTTTTAATACATAGATTTTATTAAACATAGTGATTCTGCAAATTTTCAGGTTAAAGCTCATCGAGTTGGTGGATCTGGTGTAGAAGCTAAAGATCCGATTTTCGGACTCACAATGGGAGCTAGCTCTCAAGCTTCAAAAGATGTTTTCCGGTAAGCACACTGATTCCAAAATTTCTGTTCTTATCTTGCAATAATTTTGTTGAGGGTCAATGATTTTGTTTCCATAGATGGTTTTGTGTAGAATCAGGGAATCTAGACAGTCCTCCTGTTATATTGATCCATGGATTCCCATCTCAGGTAGTAATAATACCCCTTGAAAACACACACCGATCTTTTCTACTGCGAATATATTTCAGATTTTGAGCATTTTGGTGATTAGGCTTACTCTTACCGGAAAGCCCTTCCCGTGCTTTCAAAGAACTACCGCGCCATTGCTTTCGATTGGCTAGGTAACTTTTCACCTGAAAACGTTTCTTTGTTAAAGACCCACTTGCTGAATATTTTTATGACAGGATTTGGATTTTCTGACAAGCCTCAGGCTGGATATGGATTCAACTATACATTGGACGGTACACATGTTCTTAACCCGGGTTGTGAACAGAATTTAACCAGAGAAAGCTTCTAGATTAATCAAAATAAAATACGGCTTTGCAGAGTTTGTTTCGTCACTTGAATCATTCATTGATGAAGTAACTACCAGTGAGGTGTCACTTGTCGTGCAGGTAAGTAGCATCACTTCATTTTTGACTGGTTAAGCAAATATTTCAGCTACGTTCAGTGTTAACTTCTCTTTGGTGTTTTGGTCAGGGTTACTTCTCAACTGCTGCGGTAAAGTACGCAAGAAACAGACCAGAGAAGATCAAGAATCTCATACTCTTGAATCCTCCTGTAAGGAAGCAACCTAAAACTGCACCTAAACCAACCACTTTCTTCACTTCGTTCAATCTAACTTAGAGCCTGTTTTTATCTTGCGGTTTCAGCTTACTCCAGAACATGCTAAACTTCCATCAACCTTGTCTGTATTCAGCAACTTTTTGCTAGGGGAGATATTCTCTCAGGTTGGTTTCATCAAAGTTGCTTCTTATTGTTTTGCTCCTTGGAATGTTCTGTAAAATAAGTTCGTGATTTATATCAACAAATAGGATCCTCTAAGAGCTAGTGACAAGCCTTTGACGAGCTGTGGTCCTTACAAAATGAAAGAAGACGATGCAATGGTTTACCGAAGACCTTATCTTACCTCAGGTTCTTCTGGTTTTGCCCTTAACGCCATCAGCAGAGCCATGAAGAAGGAGCTTAAGGTTCCTAGAGTGTCCTGTCAAGATTAAGAATATTGAAGTTGAAATCTAGAGAAAGATTAGAAATATCTAAGAGTTTTAACTTACAGGGCTATGCAGAAGAGATGAGGACATCACTGATGGATAAAAACTGGAAAATCCCGACCACCGTGTGCTGGGGACAACGAGACAAGTGGCTAAGCTATGAAGGAGTTGAAGACTTCTGCAAGTCTTCGGGACATAAACTCATCGAACTACCAATGGTACTGACTCATTCCTTGTGTCGACGTTTGTAAACATCTAAGCTAACTTGAACCGGCCCTTATCAGGCTGGCCATCATGTACAAGAGGATTGTGGAGAGGAGCTTGGAGGAATAATCTCAAGAATCATAAGCAAAGCTGCTCTTCCCTAACTGGAGCTACTCCACAAGAAGATTAAAAAAACGTAAAGAGTCCTGAACAAACAATTTGTAAAAACTCAGCTTTATTTCACAATCTTGTGTACTTCCTGTGGTACATATATAAGTCACCAGTAATATTTTTTCTCTAAACTTTGAGGCTCTATAAAGTGGGAGATAGAAAAATCCACATAAATCTCCGGTTCTCAAGTACAAATTTGTAACATCCTAGCTACATGTATACCTCCAGTAATTGGTATAAAGATCCTCAGAGTGCTGTGAAATTACTGTTTTGCTTCCTTGGGGTACTCCGGTTCTCTACTTCTGTTTTGCTTCCTCGGGGTATTCCGGGTATTACTGTGCTTCTATGAATGTATAATACTATCGAAAACAAGCAATCTTTCATGCTCGGAATCGGTCTATCCAGCACTCATCGTTCTTCACAGCATTTTTCCATCTGTGTTTAAAGGTCTCCAATTCAGCGTAAGTCTGCTTCCGAACCTAGTTAATAACAAATTTTGTAAATAGAGATTTTAGCCATTAAAAGCACTTAATGAACAATAAGAAGAAGATAACTTATATCATCTTTTCAAATACCAAACTACTTAAGAAGCTTACCTCAGATCTACCAGATGACATTTGGGATATCGGTGATGGTTTCTACATGACAACAGTAATCAGACAACAAATTAGATATATAAAAGGAACGAAAAGGAGAAGAGCAAATCCTAGTATAAGGATTGCATACAGTTTTGTCTGAACTATGCTGACTCTTGGTCTGATCGAGTTCTCCTGAATCAGTCTGCATATATGCAGTGAGTCAGTGACTATAATTAGTTTTTTTTTTTAATATTATTCATGAGGGCTAGGCTAAAGGATTGGCAAGAGAACCAGTTTCAAACCTTATTTTCAGCTGAACCTCCTAAGGTAGGAAGACCAAGATGAAGTATATACTCGGAGTCAACAATGCCGATATTTTTAGTTCGATCACCCTATTCGAAGCAACCACACATTACTAAGAAAAAACAAAAGCAACAGTAAAGGGTGTATTGGTTGGCACAGTCACAATTTACCTGCGCGCAATATCCAAGCTGAAAATCTATACCCCATCCATGGTTTAAGTCATTCTGTAAAAGGTTAAAAAAACAGTAATAAAACAACTGACGTATCTTGTTGGACCAATAAAAAAAAACAACTGACGTATCCAGATAGATGGTGAGGGCCGCAGTTAGTCTGTGACATGATGAATCCAACTTAATGCAATACCTGAATCATATGCCATGTACACCTCCAGGCTGCTCTGGAGAACACAGGAGCCATCATTTCGACAAATCTATATGTAGAGTTTCTTAATGAGTTTAAGAATATATCAAATGTTTAAGCTTTCATTGAATGGGAAAACGAGATTCATTTCTTTTACCCCGTGCAAGGAGGTCCAGTGCTATTCTCATTGCACCTAGCCCGACCAATGACTTTGTATGTTCTCCTGGTACATAGCAAAAGATTGCAATAAGATACATAAAGTCATTCTTCTAATCTTTTTCTTCCCTTTGCTAGAAAATATCATAACATGAGAGAAGTACCTATGTACTCTCGATTTGTTTTCCCGTGACGTATGTTGATGATGCACTTCAGATAAATGAGGATCAAGAGCAGGCTGTGATATTTCAAGCCCTTCTTCTTTAATAATTGAAACATACCTGCTTTATAACGGTACCGTAAAAAGCAGTTTCACATCTTTATCAAAGGACAAATAGTATACTCTTTGTTATGACATTTTACCTTCTAGCATCAAAATTGTCAACACCAAGATCTTCATCCCAGAGAAATATGTAAGAATATGCTGAGACAATATCCGGGTGTAGAAAACGCTTTGCAAACCACCTAAAAGAATCAGAAAGCTATTGAAAATGTACAGCCAAATGATAAAATTCCGTTTCCAGTTTACAACTGGGAAAAAAAAATTACCATTTTGTTTGGTTTACAACAGAAATATGAATAGCAGTTTCACTCCACTCAAACTCCTTCCATTCATCCACGGAGCCATCATAATGAAACAGCATTACAACGAACTCACTTGATGAAAACTGTCACATGGAAAGGTGGGAAAAAGACAGATCACATCAAATCTATTAACCGAGAAGCATTTTCGGAGGTTTACCTTGTTAACAATCTTGTTGACACTTTCCTTCTGTTTTATTCCGGCTGCCATGGCCAATAAGTTCTGCTTTGGTTTCTGAGCAAGGAAACATAAAAATGTAGTGGTAAAGAATAACTAAAGAGAAATTTGGGAATGGCTTGCAACGGTTGTATACCTTATTGCGCTTTGCGCCCCATAATGGTCGCATTTCCAAGTCAGATTTACTTGCAACAATACCTCTTGGTAATGTCTCGCTTCCAGGAGGCCTGAATTGTGTCTAATTGAGGAAAGTAACATGAAAAATGTCAATATTCAGATAGACGGAGAACTCGATTTTTGAGCACAGAAATTGATCAGTAGCTTAGCAGCGGGCCAGACCTTGCACATCTTCAGTTTTGCAAGATTAAGTCTAATTATCGAACTCCATCCCGAGATTCCCTATCAAATTATTATAACCAAAATGTTTTATATTTAGACAGAAGATATGCTCAAAAATGCAGTAAAGGTTACAGAAGAAAGTGATACCTCTTTATAGTCTACTGTAATAAACGCATTCCCTATAAGGAAAACCATTCCAAGCAAAAACACGAAAGGGAACAAGCGAAGAAGAGAGGAGCTCTTTCGTTTTTTATTCATATTTAGTGTTACCTGAAAAAACAAAGCAATCAACAAAAGATACAGAACACATTATAGATTCAAATAACAAAATACTTCAATCTAAATTCTTGGGAAATCACCATTATTTATACCCAAATGCACACGAACACACATATGGCATTAATGAGGAGTGTGCAGAAAGTAGTATGACCTCAATGAGCAACAATAACATAATAAAGATTCAAGATTGTGAAGATTTATGAGTTCAAAATGTCTTCTTCCCAGTAAACTTGATGAGAAACGCAATCCATCTAAACGAACATTCTAAATGCAGACATTTTAGAGCTACGGATGTGAGAATTAGAATATACGCACAAACCAGAAACTGAAATTCCTTCCGATTTCTCATAAAGATCCACAGTTCCGTGAAAAGGATCTACAACAGGAAACGATTCCAAGACAGAAAGAAAAAAAAAGGTAGAGACTTGATGAGTCCACGACTTTGAAGATAAACGATAGATGAAAGCTTAAGATCATAAAAAGGTTAGTTGAAAACTTAAATCGGATTGAGCTAAGGAAATTTCACAGTTTTTTTGCAGAACTCAGAAGACCCAGAAATATAGCAAAATGGGGAATAACAAACGAAAAAGCACCAAGCTATAGAACAAGACAAGAAGAAAAGAAACAGAAAGAAAGAAGAGAAATCAAAAGTTTACTGAGTTCAAAATCTTGTGTTTATTGTTCATCCTTCAAGAAGAGTGAATGAGAATGGTCATTACGAGCTCTTGCTTTTTTTTTTGTTTTTTGTTTTTTTTTCGTCAACACTCCTGCTTTAACTAAAGTTTGAGTTTCAGTGCTGGAATCCATATTTTGGGCCAAAAGATACGAAAATTAATTATTCTCCGGGAAGTTCGGTTAATTTACATTATTCATGATATAGTTACCACTTTAACTCCCTAAAGTTAGCTTCAAAAACAAAAAGTGAAGTATTAATCAAACTAGATTTTGCTTCCACACTATACGCTAGGTATTTTGTTCATAAAAATTATATGCAATTAATTATATTTATTAAGAAATAAATTTTATATATTAATGTTTTAATAATATATTAAAAATATTATGGTATTAATCTAATAATTTATATCTAAATTTTGAGATTTTTTTACGGTTTTGTTTTAAATCTATATATAATTTGTTTTTAATGTATTATTTGGTTAAACACTTATAAGTTAATATACCTAAACCAACTAAGATTTTTATAAATTAATCAAATGTTACTTTTTAAACATAGTATTGACTGGATGATAAAATATTATACATTCACTTCTTTAAATCATGTAGATAATTTTTTTTCATCATTTTTATTTTTATTCTAATTATATATGTGTTCTTTAAAAACAATAAAATTTAAAATTTAATATTTTTTATCTTGTTTAACGGATACAAATATTTATTTTGTTAAATTAATTTAAAAATGGTAAATTAATTTAAAAAATAAACTAATAAATAAAATGTTTGCTTTGAGATTAATAACAACTTTAAATTTGAAACTAAAATAATAGTTGAATGTAAAATTAATAAAATCACAAAAATTTGTGAATTAAGTATATTTTTGTCAATTGGTTGTGTAAACGTTTGAATAATTTTTCAATAATTATACGTCATCTCTTCTAATAAGAATGATTTTTTTTTCATCATGTTATATCTTGTTATTCTTGTTATATCTGTTTTTTCAATAAATATATCATATTTCTTTATTTTAATGATTTTCGTATGATTATATCAGTTTTATTATATTCATTTTTACTTCTTCTAATTATAATTAAGAAGGCAAAGCCAGTACAATTTAATACACAGAGATTTAGAAAAAATAAAATAATAAATTGAACAACTCAAAACTAAGAACTTTTACATTAATATATTGCAATTCCAAGTCGAATATACAAAATGTAAATTTTTCGATCATTTTCGCATAATATATTATATGAGATTATGTGGAAATATGTTTTGCATATGTGAAAAAAATTTAGATGAATATAAATCATAATTATTAGTAATTTAAAATTCTACGTGAAAAGCTTTAAAATCAAGTAACTTAAACTTGTATAAATAGCATATATTTTTTTATAGATAATAAATTTAATTTTGTAATTTAAACAGTGAAAATGGAGATCATAATATCATGTTGGCTTTTCTTTTGTTAATAGGATTTTTTTATTTTTTATTTATTTTCTTAACCATAATATTAGAATTGGAGAAATTTTTATAATTTAAAAATTTGATATATACGAATAAAATGAAATTTTTAAATGTTGATGTGGATGCCTTGAAAATAATATAGCATTAAATGTTATTAATAATAAAATAATTTTAACTAACAAATTTTTCTATATTGTTTTGTATTAGTGTAATTTTATAATTTAGAAACTTTTTAATTTTAGTTATTGATGTACACTAAAAAAATTAACCTTTATATCTTATGTGGATGTCCTTAGTCCGTAGGGGCATATAGTTTCAATTTTTATTTTTCTATAATTATTTTTTTGTTAACAAAACTTTTTTCTCCATTTTCAGTGCTTTGTTTTTCAAAAGTGTCATGATTTTAGTCTCTCTTCCTTGTTTTGAGGCTTACCGAATGTATTCGAATGCTGTTTGGTCAGCTAATTGTTACTTTTGTGGTTAAAGTTAGGTTGTTAAAACCTTATATGATGCTATGTTGTTTCAAAAATATTCCTCGAATAGCTTAGTCTCATTCGTCTAAATGATGGAACCTCTTTCTCTATTTTCAGTGCTTCGTTTTTCAAAAATGTTGAGTATCAATCACTTGATATGTTTCTCGGATTGCGTGAAATTTATCACTCTTTGGATATTTTACGGTCTCTTTTTCAATATCAAAGCGGCTTATAATGGTTTTGTGTATATATTCTTTTATTATAGTTAAACATATAGTTTAGTCAAGTTGGTTCTTTTACGTTGTAATGACTCATTTTTTAGTGAAACTTAACTCTATTTTTTTGTGTTAAAATTCTATTAATAATAACAATATGAAAAACTATGAATCAATTTTTTTGTTAAAACTCTTTTTTTTTTGAAATAAATGCACACATAGAAAAAGAAACTTAAAATTTATTATAGTTGTGTGACAAAAATTTGGATGCTAATGTAAAAGTCTCTAAATATGTGTGAATACATCTAATTTAAATTTAAAATTTACTTTTCTGATATTATTTATTTTAATTTTTATTATTAAAATAAAGTTTGTATATAATTTTTTATCGTTAATAATTTTTAAAAACAATAAAAGAATTTGGAAACTTTTAAATTTTCAATGTTTAGGTGGACTAATAAAAAAATTATACATAATTTCTTTATTCAGCAATAATATTAGAATTTGTAAATCTTCCTTATTCAGTAATAATATTAAAATTTGTAAACTTTCTTTAATTTTGATTGCTGATGCGGACCAATAAAATTACCCTTTTAAATCCTATGTGGACGCCTTAAGAAACATTTAGCTTCAACTTTTATTAGTATATATATATATATAAGATAAGATAGGCCAAATAGGGTATGAAAGTAAAAGGTGAATACGTGATAGTTTTAAAGAACTAGATATGTGATATTAATACTATATAATTAAAACTATATCAAATTCTAACTTGTTATTTTAAAATCTCATTTTAAATATCAAATCAATATTTGTATTCTTTAATAATTTATATCATTTTTTATAAAGTTGTTTACACTCCATATCATTTTCTGACATTTAATTACAGTTTATATCACTTTCTGCTATCCTAACACTTTCTTACTTTTTACCTTTGTTAAAAGACAATTATCTCTTTTTTCTACATTTTGTAATTTATTGGCTAAAGATAAAAAAAAAAGAATAAAAAGTCTTTTTCTCTATCACTTGTCGACAATAAAAAAAAGTATTTGCTTTTTTTTTTTACTGTTTTTTTCTTTCCTCTCTTTTCCCTAAACTTATATCTCATATATTTTATTTTGTTTATTTTCTTTTTATAAAATATAATTTAACAATTATTTTTATACTATCGGTTATATCTATTTTATATCTATATTTTGAAATTCCATTATACAACTGTTTGACATATATATAATTCACATAAATTGATAAAACGTACATGTAGTTATATAGTTATGTACACATGGATGGGTATATATATCTATATGTAGATGTATACGTAGTTATATGGATATATAGACATATTTACAACATAAAAAACACGTGGATTCATTTACATGGACGTACATTTGTATTCATGATAATATACACATATACACAACTATATATATACATATTATTTTTACACAATTTATGTGAATTATATATATGTAAATTATTCTGAAATGGGTATCAAAATATAGATATAATATATATATATATAACTTATAATGTAAAAATAATTATTATTTTTATAAAATATAAACAAAATAAAATATGTAGGATATAAGTTTGGGGAAAAGATAAAAAAATGGTGGTAATATTGACAACAAGAAAGAAAGATAGATTTTTTTTTTGTTTAATCTTTAATTAATAAATTATAAAAGGTAAAAGAAGAAGATAATTGTTTTTCAATCAATGTAAAGTGTTAAATAGCAGAAAATGTTAATTCTATGATTATAAAGACAGAAAGTAATATGTAATGTAAATTTTTTTTTATAACTTATATATTTTTAGTTTTAAACAATATTATACTTGCCACCATTTTTAAGATAGTACGTGTACCATCTTCCTTTGTGCTGTCAACATTGCTTGACGACATTTTTTTGTGTCAAAATTGTCTTTTTACTTTGTAATACTCTCTTTGATAAAAATGGGAACTAACTCAGCATACTAAAAACCAAAAAAGCTCGATATAGGTTTTGATTTGAATTTGATTCTCTTTTACTAAAACTTATCTTTAAAAAAACTGTAAGATCTAATGTTCTTGTGCACTTAGATACTTAAAAAAAATCTGTTTTTACATTCTTACATTTATAAACACATTATAATATTTTTTCTATGATAAATCTTTAATTAAAAATTTTGGTTGAAAGTCTAACAATATGTCATTTTCAATCTAAAATTATTAATTTTTATCCAATTAGTATTATAATTTTTTTAATTCCTTATATTGAACTACCTTGTGTTTTCTATTCATTTTCACTAATTTTGTTTGTATTACATAATTCTCTAATTACATAATAGATTTTATTAGAATCTGAAATCGCAATATTTCAATGAGGCGTGCGTATAGGCGTGCCGAAAATCACTGACCAATAATATTAAAGGTCGCACATGTTTTGCAATGCACATTCCTACACTTTTCATAACTTGCGATACGATGTCCATCAGTCCATGTGACTAGCTTTGCTTCAATAATAATTGTTTGGCACTGATTATTGCATATTTACGATACGTGTTGATTTTAGGAATCACACAAGAAAACAAAGGAAGAACAAGGGTGAATAATTTGTATTCAGCGAGAATGAGCCTTAAAGAGACCATCAATATCATCTTATAAGCATAAATTGTTCTTTAAAAAGTCTAATCCTAAAACAAGCACACACAACAATATTTATATAATAAAACAATTCAAATTATTTCTAACAATCAATCACACAGCAAAAAAAAGTAACCCTACATGCAACTACCAAACAACGGACCCTGGTCAAAACCAGTTCTAGTGTGTAGTCCC